AACCCGCGGGCTCACGCAATCCACTCACCTCAGCCTCCCAAAGGCGCGGGATTATAGGCTGAGCCACCGAGCCCGGCTCTAATACATGCTTTCTTACTGGACTAACATGGAGTAAGTTGTGGAAGATCCAGAGGCCACAGGATGGACCCTCAGGATTATGGGAAAGTAGCTCACCTGGCTTCTCAGATCCTGATCTCAGGACCACCCTTCTCCATTCCAATTCCTTTCATCTGGTTGGGAGGAGGTCTGGTTTAACCAGTCTTCCACAGACTGCAGCTGTGCTGCCAGTTGCCGACGGAAGTCAGTGTAAAAGGCTAGAGGGTCTAGAGAAGAAACATGCCAAGTAGTTTTTCAGTCTGGAAGCTCCATGAAGGCAAGATCCAGAGCTGCTCTGTGGACTACCGTCTAACCAGGACCTAGTACATAACAGGTCCTTGACAAATATTTGTTTAATGAATAAATGACTTATGGACCCTGGAGCATTATCTGGGAAGGTGGAATGTCTCAGTAGAAACAGCTCCATGCTGGCTTCTAAGCCTTTATTTCCTTACCTATAAAGTGGGGACGACAGTATCTATTTTCATAGGTTGATGTAAGGATTGAACGAGATAGTGACCATACAATATTTAGAATAGAGCCCAGAACAGAGTAAGTATCCAATCTTAGTTGTTTTTATTAGTAGTGGTAGCTATCACCTGGCTTTTCATGCAAATTATCAACATCTCTGAGGAGGTGGACAGATCTTTAGATTCCATTTCCTCCTCTGATCTCTCCTCCAAAGACATGATAGTTCATTGTGCCACATCTATTCCTAGCTCTGCACTCTCAGTCCACAATCATCACTATATACTATAAAGGCTAATTTACCTGTCTTTCTCTCCCTTTTGCTGGAGGTGAGTCCTTTGAAAGGAACATGAAACTTTTGACAGGGACACAGAGTCTTGTGAACATCTGCACACAGAAAGAAATTGGATGTGAGCTGCTTCTGGCCTGGATGACCAGGAAACATGGTGCCTCTACCTCATGTTGCTACCCAGAGAAGACCAAGCCACAAGGTGTTTCTGAGAATGGGAAAGGCCAAAGACATCTTATGATAACAAGAGAAACATTAACAAAACCAACATCCTCTGAGTATCCCTCTGATACTGTCATATTAACATTTCATTTTCTTCACAGCACTAATCACTATCAGTCGTTCTCTTATTAGTTTACTTGTTTACCGTCTATCTTCTTCTACCATGACTTAAATTCTCCTATGTATAAGGACTGAATATCCTTTATTACCACTACATATGCCTATCATCTAGAACTACCTGGCACATAGAAGTCACTGAGCGTATGTGTTAACAACAAATGAACACATTTGAATTGGAGTCTTACTCTGTCGCCCAGGCTGGGGTGCAGTGGCACATTCATGGCCACTGCAAACTCAACCTGCTGGGCTCAGGGGATCCTCTCGCCTCAGCCTTCCAAGTAGTTGGAACTATAGGTGCACATTACCATGCCCAGCTAATTTCTTGATTTATTGTAGAGACGAGGTCTCGCCAAGTTGCCCAGGCTGGTCTCAAACCCCTAGGCTCTGGCAATCGTCTTGCCTCTGCCTCTCAAAGTGCTGGATTTATAGGCGTGAGCCACAGTGCCTACCCCAAAATTTTATTTTTATTTTTTTGAGTTGGAGTCTTACTCTGTCGCCCAGGCTGGAGTGCAGTGACATGGTCACGGCCACTGCAGCCTCAATCTGCTGGATTCAGGTGAACTTTCTGCCTCAGTCTTCCTAGTAGCTGGAAATACAGGTGTGCGCCACCACACTCAGCTAACTTTTTTGATTTATTGTAGAGATGAGGTCTCGCCAATTTGCCTGGGCTGGCAATTCTCTCATCCTGGGCTGGCAAAACCCATGGGCTCAGGCAGTCCTCTCACCTCGGCCTCCCAAAGTGCTGGGATTATAGGCGTGAGCCACTGGACCCAGCTCAAAATTTTATTTTTGAAGGACAGATTTTGATGCTTGTAAATGCATAGACATTTGAAAACACAAAATAATTTTAAAATTTTAACATAATACAAAAATTAAGGTCTTTTTAGGATCAGCAACATAAAAGGCCAAACACGATCTCTTCTCCACACCACCATTTGGCTGTTTTTGATAGTGGGAATAAATCCATCCTATCAGGTGAGAGTGGATAAGATGTTGAAAGAGCAAGTTAGAGTCAGAAGACTGAGTTTGGGGTGCCTTTGATTACTGGGGTGTGAACCTGAATAAGACACTTAATGCTACAAGCAGCTCAGCTTCACCACCTGAGGAGATAATTCCGACCTTAGAAAGTGGCTGTGAAATTCAAAGATGGCTGCGAAAGAGCTTGGCAAACTGTTCAGCACGGTGAGGAGGGGGTCACATTTATCAGCTGACAAGGCTGAAGCAGGAGGGCAAACCACCTCCTCTGACCCCGGAGCTCCTACCTAAAAGGCGATGAGCAGTACTCGAGCACCTGCTTCTCTCCTGACAAAGGCTGATGCTACAGAAAGAAACTTGGTCTATGAGGCGGCTACCCTGACACCTCAACCTGCTCAGCACCAGAGATGGTGTGCCAGACCAAGGGTTGGACTCATATCTTTCAGGGCCCTTCCGATGTTGACATCCCAGGAGCAGTGTGGTCCCGACCAATCTCCCACGCTTGCTCCCAGGCCCAAGAAGATGTCTTGAGCACAGTAAGTGATCAGCAAGCACTCGTTCAATAAGTGGCTAAATAAGTGAATGAATGACTGTCTTCTCAAATCCGACTGGGGGGTCCTTCTTCTGTACACCCACAGCTCGTGAGCCTCCCAGCCATATGCCCTTTCCTGTCGATCTACAACTCTCTCCTCAACTACACTGGGCGTAATGAGAGCGGGGAGCGTGTCCCAAACGTCAGCAGAAACGCCCTGCACGGGCGGCGGGGTTCTGGTGACTGGGCGAGGCGTGGGGGCCGGACCTGAGGTTAGGGTTTGCTGCGCGTCGGGGCCTGAGGTTGGCCGGGACCCGCCCAAGGAGCACAGGCTCCGGCGCTCCTCGGGCCCTCCTCGACCCGGGGCGAGTGCCGCAGGAGACTCACGTGAGCACCGGGATGGGAGTCCACACCACACAGTAGGGAAAGCGGCTCCGCTCCACGTCCATAGCGACGCCGCCGGAGCCGTGGTAGTGCTTCATGTCCCTCTCGGCCGCCGTCGGCACCTCCACTTCCGCCATCCCGGGCGGGGGTGGTGGCGGCGGCAACAGGAGCGGAGAACCCCCTTCCGCTTCCGCCATGCTACGCACGCCCCCGCTCCGGCCAGCCCCTGCTCCAGCGTCGCTTGTCTCCATGGCGTCACTTCCCGGAGGTGGGGTCCGCTCCGCTTGGCCTTCCCCCGAGAATGGAAGCCGCGTCCCTCTGGGCCCGGCCAGCCCCGCCCCGCTCCCTCTCCGACTGCCCGCGTTTCTGCCGCGCTCGCTGCCCGGCTGCGGAAGGGATGCCCTCAGACAGCTTGCAGTCTAGCGCTGAAGACCAACAAAGAGCTCTGTAATTCAGTACGCTGAAGGCTCCTAGAAGGTGTGGGACAGCCGCTATTTATTGAGCACTTCTTAGGTGCCAAGCATTTGACATGCATTGGTACTAATCCCCATAAACATTTTAGACATGCAAATTTAGGTATTTTCCTCCTGTTACAAGTGAGAAACTGAGGTAAGAGGTGAGGGGCTACGATTCAAAACCAAGTCTTTATATCTCACTTGCCCTTTTCATTCTGTGGTGTCTCACGAGGTGGTGATAGTATAATGGGCAGTGTGTGTGTGTTTTTGCAGGGAAGACTTGCCAGACGATACGATATTTGAGCTGAGTCTTGATGTTTGCCAGGTGGCACGGGGATGGGGGTATGGGTGCAGCGGTGCAAAGAAAGGAAGGCCGTGCAGAGCACTGTGTGCAGGAGAGTGTGAATTATTAACCTTACTGGAGTAAATCACAAGCCTTAGATGTGATCCTACCCTTTCATCGTACAGATGGGAAAACAGGCTCAGGGAAGTTAGTTGTTTGAGATCACACACAACTATAGTTACAGAATGAGGCCAGACTCTTGGAGTCTTTTGGCTTTTTAAAGGATGCCAAGATAGACAAATGGACAGCCAAAATCTGCTGAGTTGGGGAGGAGGAGTGGGGGTAAGCTGGAAGGAAGGCTGCCCTTAAAAATCAGGCTTAAAAAAAAAAAGGATACAAAATAAGAATCAGGCTAAAGGAGGATATGGACATATCTACTCAGGAAGGTGGGACATATGCCACTTTGGGAAGGTGTTTCTTCCACTGGCTTGCCCTCCCTCAGTGCTGATCTGTGGGAAGCCTGCTGTCCTGTTTTTAGCATCTAACATTTTAGTACCCTTTTTTTTTTTTGGTATGTCTGTCTGTTATGGAACTCTAAGGTCCTTGATTGAGTTCAGTAGCTAGCACGGTTCCTGGTGCAGACCACATGCCCAATAGATGTTTATTGATTTATTGAATGATTAAATGGAGGTTTTATGAAGACCTCACAGATAAACAATTATAACCCACTCAAAATTCTTTGAGCATGTTTGTACCTCTCCAGTGACCCTTGGACAGTGTGTGATCCTTTTTTTTTTTTTTGCATTGGAGTCTCACTCTGTCACTGGAGTGCGGTGGCACGCTCCTGGCCACCGCAGCCTCGACCTACTGGGCTTCAGCGATCCTTCTGCCTCAGCCTTCCAAGTAGCTGGAATTACAGGCATGCGCTACCACGCCTGGCTAATTTTTTTATTTACTGTAGAGATGAGATCTCGCCAATGCCCGGGCGGGTCTTGAGCCCGTGGGCTCCCAAGGCGTGGGATTACAGGTTGAGCCACCAAGCCCGGCTCCTTTTTTTTTTTGAGTTGGAGTTTCACTCTGTTGCCCAGGCTGGAGTGCAGTGGCATGCTCATGGATACTGTAGCCTCAACCTGCTGGGCTCAGGTGATCCTTATGCCTCAGTCTTCCAAGTAGCTGGAACTACAGCCACATGCCACCACACCTGGCTAATTTTTTTTTGACATATTGTAGAGATGAGGTCTCACCAAGTTACCCAGGCTGGTCTCGAACCCGTGGGCTCAGGCAATCCTCTCACTTCAGCCTACCAAAATGCTGGGATTATAGGCATAAGCCACTGCATCCAGCTGGGTGCAATCCTTGAAGGACAACAACCAGCATCTGGCACAGGATTTGGGATAGATTAGGCATGCAGTATATAGTTGGTTTTGTTTGTTTGTTTGTTTGTTTGTTTTGAGTTGGAGTCTCGCTCTGTCGCCCAGACTGGAGTGCAGTGGTTGCTCCCGGCCACTGCAGCCTTGACCTGCTGGGC